GACCCTGCTTTTGCTTCCGCTTCAATCACTTTCATCCTCCTTATGGCTTCGATAATGAGTTGATAAAAAATGGAAATTGAGAGAGATAGATAGTAGATGAGAACTGAGGGAGAGAGAGAGAGAGAGAGAATAAAATAAAAAAAAAAAGAAACCAAACGACACTCAAATATTAATGCTATTATCACTGATGATGATCCCGATCCTGCTCCCGCTTCGAGCACTTTCATCTTCCTTATGGGTTTTTTAATGGGTTGATGAAAAAGTGGAATTGATAGGTAGTAAATGAGAGAGAGTAAACCAAACGAGGCTCAAGAGTAAACCAAAGGGTGTTCAAATGTTCATGCCATTAATGGACTGGTAGGCAAAATTTGAGATTATATAATTCTTGAAGAGTAAAAAAGACAATCAAAAGTTTTTTGGGTCAAAATTTTACCCTTCATCTTCCTTGAAGGGTAAAACACACACACACACACAGATATATATATATCAGTATCAACAAAATCATGTCTAATTCAACAACTTAAACGAAATTTGAGACTTCAAAACGGAGAAGATAGAGAAGGAAACATAGAAGTTACAAGGGAAAGGTACAAACTTTTATAGAACGGTTATATAAAAAAGAATTCAAAAAATTTTCAAGATATTGATTGACATTTAAAAGTCATATTGATATAGACAAAAATATAAAATAGTAGCTCAAGAATCACAATCACAAATAATATAGCATTAATGTTTTATTCTAACTCTAAAAGGGTAATATGGTTATTAACTACATTGTTAGGTAAATATCCTTAGACAAAAAATTTTTACTTTTGTTGACTTTTTATAATAGTATAGATATAGATTGCTAAACCTTATTTAAGCTTGGAAGAGTTTCTCTACTGAGCTAGTTGTGCTCACCATTTCCTTAATATTTTCAAGTTTTGGTATCGAGGTTGATACCAACATAGGTAAACATGTGGATTTGAATTTTGGAGCAAATCAGGATGTGAATCCGAACTTTGATTTATCTGAATATTTCTTTTGATGTTGAGAATAATCACAGTTTGTCATGATTTAAATAGTTAGATATAAATTTTTTTTTGAATAATATTGAGGTTTCGGGGATATACCCTCTTTATTGTTGAGTTATTGTTTTGGAATATTTTGAAATTCTTAGTCGATGATGTTGGATTGTTGTTTTGACTCATTACTTAGTACTATTAAGTATGCTCTCGTGATTTTAAAAATTATTAGTTAAATCATGTCTCTTTATAAAAATGGGGCGTGACATTTATTGTCTAGTCTAAGGTTTAAATTGGGAGAATATTCGTCTCATTATCTGCTTCTTTTGTTGTAATTAGGCTAATTGAATGAAATAATGCTAGATAGACTTAAAAATTAGATTTAATAATCTCAACCATTGAATAGGTAGTGGGTCCCAATAAATACTAAAACTCACAGTAAAATCAATAGTTGAGATTATCAAATCTACTTTTTAAGTTTATGTAACATTGCTCAATTGGATGTGGCCGGTCTTCAAGCTCCTCTACCACCTAATGAGTTTGGGCTTCTTTTAATTTGAGTCAGGCATTTTAATTATCTTCCCCTTATTATTACCTCTTAGGGTAAAATTATAAATTAAATAAGNATAAATTAAAAAAAAAAAGAAACCAAACGACACTCAAATATTAATGCTATTATCACTGATGATGNGAGAATAAATTAAAAAAAAAAAAAAAGAAACCAAACGACACTCAAATATTAATGCTATTATCACTGATGATGATCCCGATCCTGCTCCCGCTTCGAGCACTTTCATCTTCCTTATGGGTTTTTTAATGGGTTGATGAAAAAGTGGAATTGATAGGTAGTAAATGAGAGAGAGTAAACCAAACGAGGCTCAAGAGTAAACCAAAGGGTGTTCAAATGTTCATGCCATTAATGGACTGGTAGGCAAAATTTGAGATTATATAATTCTTGAAGAGTAAAAAAGACAATCAAAAGTTTTTTGGGTCAAAATTTTACCCTTCATCTTCCTTGAAGGGTAAAACACACACACACACACAGATATATATATATCAGTATCAACAAAATCATGTCTAATTCAACAACTTAAACGAAATTTGAGACTTCAAAACGGAGAAGATAGAGAAGGAAACATAGAAGTTATAAGGGAAAGGTACAAACTTTTATAGAACGGTTATATAAAAAAGAATTCAAAAATTTTTCAAGATATTGATTGACATTTAAAAGTCATATTGATATAGACAAAAATATAAAATAGTAGCTCAAGAATCACAATCACAAATAATATAGCATTAATGTTTTATTCTAACTCTAAAAGGGTAATATGGTTATTAACTACATTGTTAGGTAAATATCCTTAGACAAAAAATTTTTACTTTTGTTGACTTTTTATAATAGTATAGATATAGATTGCTAAACCTTATTTAAGCTTGGAAGAGTTTCTCTACTGAGCTAGTTGTGCTCACCATTTCCTTAATATTTTCAAGTTTTGGTATCGAGGTTGATACCAACATAGGTAAACATGTGGATTTGAATTTTGGAGCAAATCAGGATGTGAATCCAAACTTTGATTTATCTGAATATTTCTTTTGATGTTGAGAATAATCACAGTTTGTCATGATTTAAATAGTTAGATATAAAATTTTTTTTGAATAATATTGAGGTTTCGGGGATATACCCTCTTTATTGTTGAGTTATTGTTTTGGAATATTTTGAAATTCTTAGTCGATGATGTTGGATTGTTGTTTTGACTCATTACTTAGTACTATTAAGTATGCTCTCGTGATTTTAAAAATTATTAGTTAAATCATGTCTCTTTATAAAAATGGGGCGTGACATTTATTGTCTAGTCTAAGGTTTAAATTGGGAGAATATTCGTCTCATTATCTGCTTCTTTTGTTGTAATTAGGCTAATTGAATGAAATAATGCTAGATAGACTTAAAAATTAGATTTAATAATCTCAACCATTGAATAGGTAGTGGGTCCCAATAAATACTAAAACTCACAGTAAAATCAATAGTTGAGATTATCAAATCTACTTTTTAAGTTTATGTAACATTGCTCAATTGGATGTGGCCGGTCTTCAAGCTCCTCTACCACCTAATGAGTTTGGGCTTCTTTTAATTTGAGTCAGGCATTTTAATTATCTTCCCCTTATTATTACCTCTTAGGGTAAAATTATAAATTAAATAAGATAGTTGAATCTTATCAACATTTAATAATTTTAAACCTGATTATTAAAATTTATCGACACAAATAAAAATTAATATTTAAAGCATTGATTTTGTTTTTTATTTTTGTGATTTTCTCTTAGTTTCAATTTGCAAATCCCCTCAATTTTATGGATCCCTATAGGTTATTGAAATCAGTAGACCCTACAAAAAGTTGATGTAATGTTTGAATTTGACTTGAAAAAAGTAGTGAAAAATAAATTGTCTATACAAATCCCTACGGATTTTACATCTATGTTTACAGATTTCAATCATGTTAAGTTCATCTTTTAACAAAAATACAATATAAAATCCTCACAAATAAATAAATCAATTGAGTTAGTGTTAAGCATAAATAATCCTATAGTTGATGTTGTAACAAAAGTTACATGACTTTTTTTTAAAGCATAATATTAACAGCTTTAGGTTTAAAAGAATTTTGATTTGACTTTGCTAAAATTTGGATTAAAATTTTTTCTAGTGCAAGGCTAAGGTCGACAATTTGATTGAGAGAAATAAAATATTATTNGTATAATATTAACAGCTTTAGGGTTAAAAGAATTTTGATTTGACTTTGCTAAAATTTGGATTAAAATTTTTTCTAGTGCAAGGCTAAGGTCGACAATTTGATTGAGAGAAATAAAATATTATTCTTAGAGTTTTTAGTTCATTATTTACAATTTAAAGCTCCAAATTATTTTTTTNAGCATAATATTAACAGCTTTAGGTTTAAAAGAATTTTGATTTGACTTTGCTAAAATTTGGATTAAAATTTTTTCTAGTGCAAGGCTAAGGTCGACAATTTGATTGAGAGAAATAAAATATTATTCTTAGAGTTTTTAGTTCATAATTTACAATTTAAAGCTCCAAATTATTTTTTTTTATTCTGGTCCGCGAGAGTTATTTGTTTCGATAACTCAAATATTACACAAAAGGGGAGTAACACAAACTAAATATAATACGACCTCAATATGACACAATATAATAGGAANCTTTTTAGTTCATTATTTACAATTTAAAGCTCCAAATTATTTTTTTTTATTCTGGTCCGCCAGAGTTATTTGTTTCGATAACTCAAATATTACACAAAAGGGGGAGTAACACAAACTAAATATAATACGACCTCAATATGACACAATATAATAGGAACACTTTTAGTCTAGGCTATTGTTGAGATTAGGTCTGTCAATTGTATCGGGTGAGACGGGTTCGTTGTATCGAGTGAGACGGGTTCGTATTAAAAAATATTTTACTTATATTAAATTTATTTATTAATTCGTGTCTAACAAATCGTGATATATCATATTCGTGTCGTATATGAACTGTGTATAACTAGTATATAGGCAAATTGTATCGTTTATTTATTCTTTTTTTATTCGTATCCAGTTTGTTTATTAATTATATCATAGCAGGTCTATTCGTTTAACAATTTGGTGACTTTAGAAAAACTCAAATCTTCTAATTTCATATCATATTTGTGTCATATTAACGGATCATGTCATATTTAACACTTTTAATTGAGATTAAAGTTGACACAATCGGTTCATTCAAAATCGACAAGAATCAAAAATTGAGGGGATGTAGTGAATCCCCGCAGGTTTCAACTTAGCGGCTTAGCCCCTCATCAAACGACGTAGTTTATCCCCGAGGCCACGGCACTTCTTGTCCTTTATCATGAAAAAGTGTTACTCAGTTCTCACCAATCTCGAACTCGTGTGGAAACACGACACGCATTAACATGTATGTAAGAATGTAAGAAACCTTCCTTTGTGGTTCATGCTCTTCCCTTGAACCACTCACCCTCTCTCAATCCTCCACCTGATCGACCCCACGACCGATTATTCCACGAAATCCAACAAAACCCACGTAAATTTCTTCTGAAATACATCAAACCCATCTTCGAATTTCAGCTAAAGATCCACCATACTGTTGCAGATTGGGTTTTTCACGTACCCATTACGCGATATAAGTTTCACCTTTTTTTGTTGAAATTTTTTCAATTGTTCCTTCTGCATGATTCATTGTTGAATGCGGCAGAGAGGCAGGAGAGAGAAGATTGAGAAATTTATGGTTATGGAGAGAGGTAAGATGAGTAATCAGGTGGCGAGAGTGCGCAGGGAGACGCTATTGTCATGCATGAGATGCCCTCTCTGCGACAAACTTCTGAAGGAAGCCACGACCATATCTCTTTGCCTTCACACGTGTTAGTTTCTCTATTTCACTCGTCTTCTTCTTCGTTTTGTGTTGAATCTTATGGGATTATCTTTGCTGATTTTGAATGGGGGTTGTTCTTAATTGGGATTGTCCTTATTGGTGTTATTCTCATCTGGGTTGTATGCAATTTCCTAATTGCATTTCCAATGGTGTTAGTTTCTTCAATTCNCATTGGAAGAATATTCGTCTCATTATCTGCTTCTTTTGTTGTAATTAGGCTAATTGAATGAAATAATGCTAGATAGACTTAAAAATTAGACTTAAAAAATAGATTTAATAATCTCAACCATTGAATAGGTAGTGGGTCCCAATAAATATTAAAACCCACAATAAAATTAATAGTTGAGATTATCAAATCTACTTTTTAAGTTTATGTAACATTGTTCAATTGGATGTGGCCGGTCTTCAAGCTCCTCTACCACCTAATGAGTTTGGGCTTCTNCGTCATACTTTTCTTAATTTACTAGTCATTTTGCTTGCAATGGAAAAATGCAAAGCTAACCAAAACAAGAATTGCAACATCTAAAGGAATATGATGATAATTGAAATATATATATAAGTTTTTTGATTGGTTGTTAGATTGTGGTCTGTTCATTACGTGACTGAGATAAAGAAGCACTACTGGTTGGTATTTCAATGCACGGCAGCAATACCTTTCCGGAGTTCCTCAATATTTGTTAAGACTTAAGACAATTTCATTCAGAGTTTATTCTGGTTTACATTATATCTCTTGATATTGTTGTTGCTCTACAATCTCTTACCTGAATGTAGTGTAGTTTGCTTGTCCTGTTAATGGTGGCAGAATTCCTGAAATTCCTGAACATGGTACTGGTTTATAGGTGTACCTATATCGCTCCATGTTTCTTCCTTTGATTTATTTATAACTATCATTTTCTCATTTTGTTTATTGTAAATGAGAAGAACATTTATAGTGTTGTAGTCTTTCGGTTATCATTAGCTGTGCATGTCCNCATCTGGCAGATGATCATAACCTGACATGTTAGATACCATTCTGTGTGATCTGCGTTTTTTTCAGATGATGGCATGATCTTCCTAGATTAAATGCAAAAAGTTTTGGGTCTGCATCCATACCTACTTGTCCTCAGTTGGGTGTATTTAGATTTCCCTTGCTGTTGATCTATTTCTGCTCCTTTGTTTTATTGTCTGTTTGGACCTCCTGTTTAGTTATTCTATAGATAGATTGTCATTTACTGATCATGGTTGACCATTGGAACTGTAACATAAAAATTTTCTGTTTGCCTATCGTGTAATATGTTTGATCACGGGAGATTCAATGTAAGACAGTCTAACCTCTTGTATCTGCAGATTTTTTAGGCCATTTTAGAATCTTTCTGCCCAGTTTATTTATAACAAAGGCTGTCAAGTACTGTCTCTTGTTTGAATTTAGGGAGCATGCTTACCCCATTATTAATTTTTTTTTTTTTTATCAAAATGCTTACCCCATTATTAACTAATGATTAATTGCTTGCCTCCAACTGGATGGTACTTGTCGTGACTGCATGGTAGTTTCTGCAAATGATTTATGCTTGTGACATATCTGAACCCATTTGGGTTCTGATTTGTACAGCAAACATTTTGCAATTTAAAAGGACCTACTTGCGTCTCTTGTTGTTTTTGATCTGCCTGAAATTTGGAAATCTTGGTTCATCTCTGTCATTCACTTGCATTCATTTCCTTCGGTGAGGAATTTCGCTATGCCACCCGCTGACCTTACACTGTGAGTACTACTGTAGCAAAGCCAACGGGAAGATCAGTCCCAGGGCTCAGGACACATGTTTATACTGATTACAATTAAGTCTAGCTGATAGTTAGTATCTTATATTTGTTTAATAGTTGTAATCCTTCTCCAAATTATGCATTGTTTGTATCAATATCAAGGAAATTCCTCAAAGACCCGTGAAGTGTGGTTTTACCCATAGTCGCTACATTTTGTATCTTAATAGTGCCATTCTTAGGTCCATTTTCCAATAAAATGATTTTCATTGCAAGATATGAGACCTTGAGGAATAGTGTCTCCCGGATCTTTCTTTTTGACATTTGTATAGCTGAAGTTTTTCCAACTTTTTAGAGGATGATGGATCAACTTTCATATGTAGGCAATGTGGTTGTTGTCTTTTTTTAGGAAGGTGCTGTAGTTGTTGTCGTCATACTTTTCTTAATTTACTAGTCATTTTGCTTGCAATGGAAAAATGCAAAGCTAACCAAAACGAGAATTGCAACATCTAAAGGAATATGATGATAATTGAAATATATATATAAGTTTTTTGATTGGTTGTTAGATTGTGGTCTGTTCATTACGTGACTGAGATAAAGAAGCACTACTGGTTGGTATTTCAATGCACGGCAGCAATACCTTTCCGGAGTTCCTCAATATTTGTTAAGACTTAAGACAATTTCATTCAGAGTTTATTCTGGTTTACATTATATCTCTTGATATTGTTGTTGCTCTACAATCTCTTACTTGAATGTAGTGTAGTTTGCTTGTCCTGTTAATGGTGGCAGAATTCCTGAAATTCCTGAACATGGTACTGGTTTATAGGTGTACCTATATCGCTCCATGTTTCTTCCTTTGATTTATTTATAACTATCATTTTCTCATTTTGTTTATTGTAAATGAGAAGAACATTTATAGTGTTGTAGTCTTTCGGTTATCATTAGCTGTGCATGTCGTTGGATTGTTGAAGAAGATGATCCTTTAATTCATTTGTTAATTGTGTTATTGCAATCATTCTCTGACATATTAAATCTTGAACATTATTAAACCAGTTTGCAGAAAGTGTATATATGAGAAGCTGTCAGACGAAGAGGTGGATTGCTGTCCTGTGTGCAATATTGACTTGGGCTGCATTCCGGTGGAAAAACTCAGGTTAGTCTTATATAATTCGACCAGGACTCTCTCTCTTTATATATATATAGTTGTTTCTAGGCTGATATTTTGCAACCCTGGAAACATGCTATGAGTTTGTACAAAGGTTGGCACTGATTCAAGCTCTGGATTAATATTAAATTTTTTCTCATCCTGGCCAATTCACTTTTATTTTTCCTTTATTTTTATGGTTATTGTACTTGTTTTTCATATAATTGCTGCTTGGTTCCAATCTACTGCCAGATTGTTTGATATGGATCACAATAAGGTGCAGTTATATCTGGGGAAAGAAGACCTAATAAGTAAATCCAGTAAGTTCTATTACAGTTTGCAGCATAGGGAGTAAATTCTAATTCAAACAATGTATGTGTATATAGATACACCCATGTATATATATGTCCATGTGGGTATATACACTTCGAGATATTTAGGTATGGCCTTCTTTGAACTGAGAGTGGTTTTTCTTGTTTTACATTTCTTTTTAGTTTTTGGCTTAAAGTTGTTCTGCTACGTAATTAACCTCCTGTNTTGCCTTCACACGTGTTAGTTTCTCTACTTCACTCGTCTTCTTCTTCGTTTTGTGTTGAATCTTATGGGATTATCTTTTCTGATTTTGAATGGGGGTTGTTCTTAATTGGGATTGTCCTTATTGGTGTTATTCTCANCTGTAGTCGATCTATTCATCTGTTACATAAACACTAGATAATCATTTCAGCATATAAGTTGTATGTCATATAGATGTGTCCTCATCCAACAGCTCTACCGGCCACTTTTCCTNTTGTAGTCGATCTATTCATCTGTTACATAAACACTAGATAATCATTTCAGCATACAAGTTGTATGTCATATAGATGTGTCCTCATCCAACAGCTCTACCGGCCACTTTTCCTCAGTTCATTCTCATTTAAAATTACTGGAGCCCAGAAGTTAAGTCCAGTTACTATTTTCCTGGTGGTTACTGTTGAAAAACTGTTTGCCATATCATTGGGCTCAACAATTTATATAGTGGGGGTTGTCTGCTCACAATGACTATGTGTGCCTATCTAAACGTACAGGCCGGACCACAATTTGCAAGATATAAGGGCCAAAATCTTCCCTTTTAGAAGAAAAAAGATTACAACACCTGAAATCATACCTTCAAATTCATTGCCCCTTAAAAGGAAGGAGAGATCTCTGTCTTCATTGGTGGTCAGTACTCCAAAAGTATCAACACAGACTGGATTGACTGGGAAGAGAACAAAAACTATTGGAAGGAAGAGTGCTGCTTTACGAGGATCCAGATGTTCATTTGAGGATCCTGTTAAGAAAGAGGAAGATCCTACGGAAGAATGCCCAGAAAGCTCACGCTCACCTGACATTCTAAACAAGATAATTCAAAATAAACGGCAGGTAAAATAGGTGAAGTTGTATCTTTTGTGTTTGTGTGACTGAGAAATCAAACTTGACTGTTGCAAGCTTTACTTTCCCGGCAATTATGCTTTTGATCTGCTGTCTTACTAATCTCATTTTCGATTTTTGCAGCTTTCTACGTCAACCGAACCCTGTTATGAGCAGGAAACTGAAAAAGACGTGAGGAAAGACATTGAATTTTGGGAAGGCAACGTCGATCTGTGGAAACCCTTGAATTGTCTTGTTGAAGCTGCAAACAGAACTAAGACATCTAAACTGAATTCACAAAGCTCATCTCCTGCCAAATCTGAGCCACTCGATGCTCCTGACTTTGAAGTTCACATGCCTAAGACTAAAGGTAAGGAACATGGACAGAAATCCAAAGTTCAAGATGACAAGAATGCGACAAGCATGGTTTCAGCACAATCAAAACGTAGAAGATTCCGTGTAATTGGTCGAAAAAGGGCAGCTGGGGTGTTGTCTGCTTCGTCACAGGCCATACTTGATGCTAAAGGGGCTAAATGGAGCAGGAAAAACAGTCCAATTTGGTTCTCGTTGGTCGCCTCAGATAACCAGTAAGGCAACACTTTACTAAATAATATTAGATTAATTTCTTTCCAGAGTTTGAAGTGTTGACGGATTGTTATTGTAAATGGTTTCAGGGCCGGTGATATTCCCTTGCCGCAGATATCTGCTTGTTACTTGAGAATAAAGTTAGTCTATCTGATTCTTTACTTAAATTTTAGCTTTGGATAGTGTTATTTACTTTCTAAAATCTGTGTAAATGGTTTCAATCACAGTAGTGCATGTCTGAGAGATACATATGCATGCACACGCACTAGGATGTTTTGGTGAAAGCATTTAGGAAAGAATGAATATGGACAATGTTTTCATATACTTAAGAACGTTAGTGGTATGTTTGGTGAGATATGCATATTGATAACCTTAAATTATATGAATATCATCACATGCAGGAGACATTCTATCAAAGCAATATAAATGATTCTAGTCCACTACCTAAATCTAAAATGAAAATTCCAGTGCCTTTTCATTTTTTTCCCTCTCCTTTTTCTTTACTTCCTTCTTTCCTTTTCTTTTCCCTTTTAGTTTTTGTACATTTGTTTGGTGGTTATATTTGTTAATCATAAAAAATTGCTAAAGAAAGAAAAAAAAATGTCATAAAAAATAATTCCAAAAATACTGTCACAGAATTATGTCGCAGGTAATTATTGCAAGGCTATGTTCTCCTTTCAAAACTAAATTTTGCAGTAAGAACAGGGAATGGGTGGGGTGGGGGAGGAGGAGCCAGGAAAGAAAATACACCCCAAGTAGTTTGTAAACACATGAAGGTATGAAAGCACCATGTGTTGGATATTTTTGGGTTTGCTGCCTGCTAGTTGATTTCTCTCTATTTCACCACTAGTAGAATGTGAACTATGAAGCATAAAAGTAGGAATGACAAATGATGAAAGTTTTTTAGCTTATTAATGAAGAAAACTTACTGGAAAGAACAAAAGACACCGATCTTCCGATTCAGAGATTTATTGTGTTGTTCATCCCTCAGAACAGAGATGAGCTAAGATGGTCTGCAGTATCTGTGAGGCAGAAGGTGAGAGTTCTAGAATGTCTCATACAGTATGGGATGGACAAACATACATGAAACAAATGATGCAATATAGTTAAAGATATTTAGACCACAGAACAGTTTCAAGGATCTTGTATGATTTAGCTCATTAGTTTGATTTGAGTATGATTCATTTTAGATTTCTTAATACTATCTTTAATATGGTGCTGAGTTGATTCTATATACCAAGATAATTTGAGGTAAACTTGGAAAAAAATGGTAGCCTGGAGCATGTTAATTCTGGTTTACGTCAGGGCACTGGCTCCTATTTTGAATGGTAACTTTCAAAAGTAGTTTAATTCGTTATGAACATAGCTTTCATTTTTGTCTGGAAAAATTTGATTTCAAGGTTGACTTTAGGAAATCCGTGANTTCAGGGCACTGGCTCCTATTTTGAATGGTAACTTTCAAAAGTAGTTTAATTCGTTATGAACATTGCTTTCATTTTTGTCTGGAAAAATTTGATTTCAAGGTTGACTTTAGGAAATCCGTGAAGGCATTCTCTTGATCATTTAACTTGTGTGAAGTGTGAGAGGTTTGAAATTGAGATCCATCTTCAGAAATGCCTGTCAATGGAGAGATAAAATGTTAGCTTTAAGCCTGTTCCCCCTTGCTTTCAAGTGTTGGATAAGAACTTTAGCATAATATTAGAACTGAGTTCTTGGAGCTTGTTGAGGAAATCTTCCTGGCTTGGATGTTTTTGTAGTTACCTATAATCAGCTCATGTCTCTGGTATGGATTTTATATTCCCACCCATATATTTAGCAGGCAACTTTTTGGGTGCATAGATAGAGACTGAAAGCCATCTTGTCAAAAAGCATCAATGATGGTTTTAGCATAAAGGTATTTTGTACTGTTCACTATCATAATAGGAGAGCAGCATCTAAGAAGAAAAGAATTTTGAAGTCCTACATTGGAACTCTAAGTGCCTAAAGGCGTAAAGAGCCAGCTGGCATTTGGAATATTCTTATCCAAGCTTGCTGACAGTTCTATTTGCTTTGCTTCCTAATTTAAGAGCAGTTCTAGAGTGAGTGCAATTAAATGGGATATTTTTNAGAGCCAGCTGGCATTTGGAATATTCTTATCCAAGCTTGCTGACAGTTCTATTTGTTTTGCTTCCTAATTTAAGAGCAGTTCTAGAGTGAGTGCAATTAAATGGGATATTTTTGGTAACTGTAAGGAGGAGGAAGGTAGTGATTTAACCCGGATTTCCCTAAATACCTAAGGTGCAGATAATACATAAATTAGGCAATATAAAATTGCAATTGAGCTTTCACTCAATCATATATCCACATGTGATGTCTTTTACTGATACATTTGACAAGAAAATGAAGGACAAAGAGACAAGAAATGTGTGAAATCCTATAGAGGATGATCCTTGAAACCTTGAGAGTAACCTTATTTTTTAATTCATAAAGAAAATTTTAGTGTCTAGGATTGGGTTTGAAGGCCTTTTATATTCTTATAGAGAGTTAGAGAATCACTTCGTAATTAGATTTCGTATTTGCTATAAATGAGTCACAAAGCTTCCACCCTAAAAGAGTCCTCAAATATGTGAAATTTCGGAGTTTTTGAATGATCCTTTGGCTATCAACTTTCTACTCTTTTCCCCTCTCTGTTGGAACTTATTTTCCTTACCCCTTTTTTCTCCTTGTTGATTAAAGACCCTAGAGAATTTAGTGTTTCTCGCCTTCCTTTCCCTTTCTGTCTACTCTTTTCATGTGGATTCTTGGCTTTCCCCATTTCTGCCTTCCTTCTTTCAGGAGCTCTTGTACCTATCTATCTTCTTCCCTCTTGTCTTTGCCTCTCAATTCTCTTTTCCTTTTTTGGGTAAATCTCTCTGTTCTTTTTTTATTCACGTGTGCTATAAAAAGGGGAAAAAAGAGAGAGAGATTCTACCAAATCTTTGTACCTCAAATATTTGAGGAAAGCTCCTGAGAAGCAGCAATCAATTTACGCTCAAAAAGCTTGATGTAATGCTGTCCAGCTGATGTTCCATGAAAATTCTGAGTGATATTTCATATGCAATCAAGAAATAGATCGATTAATGAATGAAATGAGAAACAGCATCTATGTTCAGCAAATGGCACTTGTCCCTCTGAAAGATTCTAAATTTTTTATGTTGCCACCTTAAAGAATAAAAGTCTCACACTGCATCCTGAATTTCTTTAAATGGCAGTAATGTCTCCAACTAGTCAACTATGCCAAATTATTGTTAGTTGACATCCCACGCACCACACACGCGATCTGGGACAATTTTTTTATGGGGCTACGTTAACTTAGAAAACAATTTCAAGGGACAAAGTGACATTATGATATCTTTAACCACGTAGTCAACAGTGCCAAATTTTTGTTAATTGACATCCCATTTGCCATGCACATGATGTGCAATAATTTTTTTATGGGGTCAAGTGAAATTAGAGAACAATTTTGATGGGCAAAGTGACATTAAGATATCTTTAAAGACGACATTGCTACCATATCGTGAATTCAAGGTGATGTAGTACTTTTAATCTTTGAAGGGGCAAAAAGTTAAAATTCTACATTTGTTCTGGGGGCAAAGTGCCATTAGCCCATTTTATAATATGCTTGATGAATAAACTCCTACCATTCAAGATTTTGTTCTGGTAATTGAGGAATTTAATCAGACGTATCCTGCCAAAATAGGTAATTGGCTACAACATTTTGAATTTTTCTCATTCGTAATTTGAATCTTTCCTGAATGCTTTACTCTTGGTTTTGCTTGCTGCATGATAAAATATGACTTTCTTTATGAGACTGCTAATTAACTTTTGCGACATTGTCTTCTCAGCAACAAATATTTTGCTTTGAGTTGACTTGTGCACCCTGCCCCATCTGTCCTTTTTTTTGTCACAGGGATGGAAATTTGCCAGTCTCGTTCATCCAAAAGTACCTTGTAAAGAAACTTGATCTTACAAGTGAAGCTGAGGTCAGTGAAGTAGTATTTTTTTTCCTCTCAGTTATAACTTACTGTAGTGTCTTTGGAATTCTAGATGCACATCTATTTGATATGTCAGTATATGTCAATATGAATTTGCATTAAACCATCTATTGGATATGTCAATATATGACGATATGAATTCACTTTAATTTTGTCATTCAACTTATGACATTCTTTTCAAAGTTGAAAACAGTAGTCACTGATCTAGACTTACCATAACATATTGAACATAACCAGAAAAGAGTGTTCGACTGTAAAAGCATCCAATCCAAAATTAATTGGCAAGGAGTGGAGTTGCCCCTCAATTATATAAGTCAACCTTGGGTGAACTTAATTTTTGATATGGGATACAAGGTCTCTTCACACTCTTTTTCACGTCCGACTCGGAGGGCTAATAAACCGAATTTGCCGACAAAGAAACAGAGTGGAGTTGAACTAAAACAGAGATAAAGATACGAGCAATTGAACTGTATTACGGATTCGAGCCAGCCATCTGAGCCCAACTTTGATATCATGTTAAAATATCCAAGCCAAAACCAATTGTCAATGGATATAGTAATCCCTCAAATATGTAAACTAAGGCTGCAACTTGGGCAGGTTGGTTGGGTTGAGAGGGCAATCCAAGCCCAACCCAAGTTATAAAAACTTCAACTTGAGCCCAACCTTAACCCGAAATACTTCAACCCGAGTACTGCCCACTCGAGCTCAGGTTGAACCCAAGTTATTAAGTTGAGTTCAACTTTTGGGTTAAAAGTCGGGTTCCTAAAGGTTAAGACCTTTAACTCTTTTATTAAGCTCACATAGGCCTAATGGACAACCAAGCCCATTAAAGACACAAGCCTCTTTGAGTTTGCCTTTCTTATATACAACAGAAGGGAGAGACCCTTTTGTTTCCAATCAATGTGGGATTCCAACATAGGCATCTTCTTTCGTTCTTTATTCAACATCCCACATCAATTTAACAAGGGAGCTTGCACTCCCTTTAGTGCTATAAAAGCTTCTTGACGAGTGTATGTAACACATAAGATTTTATAGTGTGGTACTTTATGTAAATATTTTTTTAATGCCTGCTTAAGTAAGGATTAAACATATTTTAGTATGGTAGGTTGAATTGTGGTTGAACCTAATTTTTAGTAATTTGTTCTGGGCTCTGGTTGAACCCGTGAACTC